AGCATCCTCCTCTTTCTCAGCCTCTCTCTCTTTTTAAAAAAATATATTTTATTGATTTTTTACAGAGAGGAAGGGAGAGAGATAGAGAGTCAGAAACAACAATGAGAGAGAAACATCGATCAGCTGCTTCCTGCACATCTCCTACTGGAGATGTGCCCGCAACCCAGGTACATGCCCTAGACCAGAATCGAACCTGGGACCTTTCAGTCTGCAAGCCGACGCTCAATCCACTGAGCCAAACCGGTTTCGGCCCCATGAAGGTTTTTGAACATCTGGCCTGGGTCACATTCCTTCTCTGTGTCTCCCTTGCTGCAGTGATCCCACCACGCTGGTCTCTGAAGCACTTCCCACACAGCAGCTCCCAGGGGTTAAAACAGACCCCATCCCTAACCCCTTCCCTGCCTTGAGATAGGCCATCTTAGGACCAAGTGGAACCTAGTCCGTTTTTTAAAAAATCATTAAGAGAGCCCTAGCCGGTTTGGCTCACAGGATAGAGCATTGGCCTGCAGACGGAAAGGTTCCGGGTTTGATCCCGGTCAAGGGCATATGCCCAGGTTGTGAGCTCGATCCCCAGTGTAGGGCGTGCAGGAGGCAGCCAATCAATGATTCTCTCTCATCATTGATGTTTCTATCTCTCTCTCTCTCTTTCTCCTGCATAGTTTTTATATACCTGTGAGGGAATGAAGGTCAGGGAGGAGTAAATGGACAACTTATTAAAAACACTTTTATTTTCCTAAATTTTTATAATCCAAATGACTTAATTTTAAAGGAGGGAGGCCTCAAAGAGAGGAGTAATTATTTGAAAGCCATTCATCTCCTCAATCTCCTGTCTGAAGGTTTGCTAGCTTTTCTTCTGTGTCCTTCTCTGACCTCCCGTCCAGTGGTAACCCCCCTCAGTTCTCACACCATCGGCTCTCACACGCCTTACCTCGTTTCCACAGAGACTGAAGGTGAAGTGATGGAAATATTTCAGCCCTTTGGAAGTGAAGCTTGGCCCCCCAGCCAGAGAGACGGGGTCTTTCAGAGCCGAGAAGTTGTAGTCTAACGACCGGCTCCCAGAGCTGACTGAGAAGGTGCAGTCGTTGTAGCACAGAGTGTGGATCTGAGGGCAAAGAGGTTGTCAGGCCGGCTGCGGCAGGGCCTTTGAGGGGACCGCAGTAGTGACCCAGCCCGGTGCAGCCCACGTGGGTAGAAGCAGCAGCAGTGAGTGCAGGTGGGCACTAGAAGAAGCGAAGCAGTGGCTGGTGGGGCTTATGTACATCTTGCCATTCAATCATTAGCACATGTATGATGTGCGAACCTAAACCTGTTGTTTTCTAGTAAGTGGTTGGGTCAGATTCCATAGCTTTGTCCCTGTGCTTAGATTATAGAACTCTCAAGGCACAACATGGCTGTTCTTACTTTCAGGCGGAAGACAACAAACGAGGTGCTAACTCGAAGAAGGGAGTCCAGGATGGCAGGAGAGAAACTACAAGCTTTGACCCTCCCCCCATTTTAAACTAATTGAACCCTAATTCCTCTTTCCCAGGGTCTCTGTAGGAAACTGAACTTCAAAGGGGGCTTGATTCCCCATAAACCCTTCCTTACTCTGTTTTAGGGTCCTCACTCAGCCCCTGCCTTACACAACTGTCATTCCCTTCCTTGGCAGCAGAGGGAGCCCTCGGAGAACAAGTGTGTGGCTAAAGTCGAGGAAGCCCCAAAGACGCTGCCAGGATCTGCAGAATGTTGCACTTACTGCACAGCTAAACTGAGCAACGTTTGCAGACGATACATAATGCCCATGTGATACAGATGTATGTCCATGTGGTTGTGGTCAGTAAAACACAAATTCACTTAAAAGCATTAATGAATATTTAAGAGCTTTTAGCCAGAGTACTTTCCTAGATTCAGACAGTACGTGGCCAACAGCACTGCTTTATAAGAAACCACTTGGATAGAAGACAGCAATGCCAATTAACCATATGTCCCAGCAAAGGTGGGTTACCTTCCCAAAGGAGAGGGGGCAGATTCCCCTGATAAGAGGCTGGGGTGAAGTAGGTCTGAATTTGAGCCACAGGTCCCACTGTTTCTTCCCTTCAGGCCACTGCCCAGATGCCAAATAACCCTTGGGACCAGACGGTCACAGATCTCCCTTACCCATCTCTTGAAGATGAGGCTTGTTCACGACTGAGGCCTAGCCCCTGACAACCAACTTCTACAGGTAAGAACGTGCCATCCATGGTCACAGCCTGGATGGGTGTCCTCCAGGACTCCACCCTGGGAGTATGCTATGGGGGACATTTGGGGATCAGCCCCTCCAAAACCCCATCTAGGACCTGGCACCCTCTGAGGCTGAGGTGAGGATGCACGTCACACTGCTGGCACCTTGTTGCTCTGGGTCCCTGAGCCACAGGGCTCGCAGGCCTGGACTCCATAGGGCTGGTGGGCTTTCAAGATGGTGTTAGGGGGGCAGGAGTGGCAGGTTCCTGAATCCCGGTTAATGTAGTAGCCAGCAGGACAGGAGGTGCAGGAGGAGCCCATGTCAGAGGCTTCCAGGGCGCAGGGCCGACAGTAGGAGGCCACCCCATTCATGACATTGGTGACATTGATGGAATAGATCTTGGCGAGCTTGTTGGTGTACTTTCTGCCCTGGAAACAAGGAAACAAGAGAGAAGGCAGAGGCCTGAGACACCAGCAGCAATTGAGTTCTCTGGAAATAGTAAATTACTGCCTCATCTTTTTTATCTGTAATACTTGAGAAAAGTCTGATAAGCACCTTCTTCCTTTATGTACACTTTGTGTCATTTTTTAAAGCAAATCTGAACCATTTAAAAATGTCTAAAAATAGTAAGTGCCATGGGGGAAATATGCAGTAGAGATTGTTATATGAAAAAAGCAGGTCTTGCCCATGGCCAGTGTGGCTCAGTTCATTGGAATAGCATCCCGTGCACAGAGGGTCACGGGTTTGATTCCTAGTCAGGGCATATACCCAGGTTTAGTCCCTGGTTGGGGCATGTGTGGGAAACAACTGATTGATGTTTTCTCTCTCACATGGATGTTTCTCTCACCCTCTCCCTTCCTCTCTCTCTAAAATCAATTTTTTTAAAAGAAAGAAAAAAGGCAGGTTTTTTATCTGTGAAAGGAAAAAAAGTATTTGTAGAATATCTCCTGGATAGGAGGTACTTAGTTGTTAACTGGGTTTTCTCTGGGTAGTAGGATTATAGGTGATTCTCTCTCTCTCTCTCTCTCTCACTCTCTCTCTTTCTCTCTCTCTCTCCTTTTTACCTTCTAAGTTTCCTGCAATTAATTTTCATTAAGTTGAGTGAAAAAAACAAAACCAGAGTTATTATTATTAAAAACAACAACAGGGATGAACAGGATGTACCAGGTGAGGCACCACACTTGTCCTCAGGGCAGGACTGCTGAGGGGACAAGCTAAGTCATTTGGACAAGGCTCGATGTTTCTCAGGGGCCTGGAATAGGCAGTTCTCAGCTTGACCCCTTAAGATCCTCTAATCCTTGGGGTCAGACCCTCCCACTCCCACTCAAACTAATGCTAAGGATCCTCCTGGGTTCAGAGGTCTCTCTGGGAGCCAGGGATCTGAAGAAGGGGAGGCACTTACAATCTCGTGGAAAGTGGTCCTCTGGAAGGCCCAGGTGAAGCTCACAGTAGCGTTCTTCTCAACGATGTAGGTGAAGGACTGCTTGCCTTTAGAGCCTTTCCACGTCTCCACGGGAGTGTTGGCCCTAGAATTCACACCCTGAACCCAAGACAGACAGTGAAGAAGGCGCGATGGCTGGGTGGCTGCTGGGAAAGAGCCACCCAGGGGCCATCTGCCATCCCAGGGGCCATCACAGTTGGCCAGATCCATGTTAAATGGGGAAGCCCCTGACGGACAGTCTGGGCCCCTCCCCTGTGAAATCACTCTGAGCAGGGCTATCAGTTATGTTGATGCACCAGTGGGGCCGAGGAGGCCAACCCTCCCTTCCTGGGAACCCCATCACAAACAAAGAAAGGAAAACATACCACCATGAAGTAGAGCTCACAGTTCACAGAACAGATGGTCTCAAAGACAAATGTGATCCTGGCCACCTCTTTGTTCTCTGTGTCCGCCATCACCGACTGTGGAGGTCTGTGGGCCAGAAGTTAAAAGCCAGTTCAGAGGCCGGGCAGTGCTTATTGCAGAGCCCAGAGAGCAGCAGAGGGTCTGCTGGAAGGCTCAGGAATTGAGGGGGGGGGGTGCAGAATTAAGCTCCTCGTATATTGGAAAGAGCATGTATGAAGTCCAATCCTGCCCCTTAGCTATGTGACCCTGATGTAGCCAAACTGTAGTTTTCTCATCTGTAAAATGGAGGTAATAATATCTTCCTTCTTCACCTCCCATCACTGTGGTGAGATCCTAAGTCGTACCAGATGGGGAGGTGCTGTGTGAAATGCTGGACAGCCTCACCAGCAGAATGCGGTCCCCAGACCAGCAGCATCGCATCACCTAGCGCTCACTAGACCCCCGGAGTCAGAATCCGCACATTGACCTGATCCCCAGGTGATGCACATGGGCATTAACGTTGTAGAAGCACCGCTATCATGAGATGCACATTGTCTACATTCACTTAGCAGCTCTCTCTTGGGGATGGTGAGAGCTTTGCCTGGGTTCAACGAGCGGATAGTTCAGTTTGTAATCTCTTCAGCGAAGTTCTCAGGGTGCTCCTTCCTTTGGGGAAGAGAGAGCCAGCTACAAAGCCAAAGCGGGGAGGGAGTGGGTGAGATGCGGGAGCCTTTACTAAGGTGATCAGATTTGCAAATTGAGACATGCCCCCATAAAAGCCTAAAGAGTTTTCTTCTCTCTCAAACATGGGCTATATCTGCTCAGCCCCGTGTAACGTAAATTAAGGGAAGGGAAACGAATACCTTTCGAACCACCACCATGGACCGAGCACCGTCCAGGGATGAAAGGAGGGAGCTTGGAGGAGGGAATGGAGAGGCCAGCCTGGCAGTCAGGAAGCCCAGTCACTGGTCCCCCCTCATCTTTCAAGTGCACAAGAGTTCACTCTGGTTTTGGAAATCCACTTAGGGCCTTTTCCCGGCTTTGGCCATTTGCTTGAATTCTGAGGACCTGCAGGCCCAAGCTCACAGTTGTGCTAACAAGTGGACTGAAGAGTCATCTCAGCGTGAGTTAGTCCAAATTCACACTGTCAATCCCCTGGTTATACAGACCAGGGGCCTAATGCCTATAGGGGCACGATGGCTCCCAAGTTCACAAAGCCAGTAGGTGGCAACATTCAAGTGCCCTGTCTTACAGTCTAGTGCTCATTCCATAGTACCACACTGCCTGTAGTATTTATTTTAATGGCAAACAAATTGCTTTTTGTCCTAGGTCTTCTTGAATAAGTGGATAAATATGATAAGAACAATCCCTCCCAATCTTCTTGCCCCAAATAACAATGAACTATCTATGGGCACTTCTGGTCCTATTAAAAAGGTGTTTTTTTTTAATTGTATCTGATGCTGTGAGGAAGAAGGCTTTAAGTAGCATGTGGCCAGTGAATGGAAGGAGCTAGATGGGATGGGAGAGTGGAAGGTAGATTAGCATGGGCAGCGCCTAAGACCCTGGGTCAGGGTCAGGTTCACATTGTCAGACCATTGCCGTGCTCTGTCTGTCTGAACTGCTGCTTCAGCATGCAGAGCCCTCTCCCTCCTGCATTCCAAAGTATGTGGGACATGGATGTGGCAAGGTGGCGCTGGCTTCCCCTTAGTTTTGCATTCCTCACCTAAATCCTGGCACAACCAGAGTGAGGATCATGAAGTCATTGTCCGAGGCTCCAGCCGCCGTGTAAATGTAATCCCCGGCCACCTCCCAGCCTGGAAGGAGAGCAGAGAGTTAACGCCCCAGCGGTGTTGGGTACAGGGCACGCATGCACCCAGGTGACACTGCTGGACACAACCATGTTACACCTGTCCCACTACTTTGGTCAAAGACTCTGAAGCTCTCAGAGCAAGACCTTTGGGGCATGTGCATGCTGTTTCTAGTTCAGTTTTTGTCTCTGAAACAAGATTTGGCAGAATACATGCCCATGAGGAGTGGAACTTTGCAGGGAATGCGTGGCCTGGTTAGCTCATTTCCCCCTGGACATCATGAGTATGAAAATATGTGACGTAGGAAGAGCCCCCGTGGGTGTGCAGGGAGCCGAGAGTGCGTGGCAAGGGGAGAGGCCCTTACCTGTCATGCCCTTGTACTCAAAGTTGGTCCCACTGAGAACAGTCGTTTCCATGTTCGTGGGCAGTGTGTTCCACCATTTGTATTCGAATCCCACGACAGGCTCAGTGCCAGCTGGGCAGTGGCTACAATCTGGGGGAACCACAGATCCATGCATTCAGCAAGAAGGCTGCAGCCACCCTGACCGGGGCTGCTGTCACACAGACAAGTGGCAACGTCGTGGGCAGCCAATCAAGGGAGTGCTGAGTACTGCTGCACAGTGATATGAAGTTGACCCAAAACATTCTGGCAATGTATTTAACAGGCTCAAGGTGCACATACTGATCCTTCCTTCCCAAGTCCCAGCTAGCCTCCTCGCCCACCTAATTTTTCTTTTCCAAACGTAGATGTATCTTCTGGTCTGATTCATACAGTTCATGTTATTTGTCACATTATGAACAGTACATGCATTCACATGAATAGGTACACAAATTACCCCAACTCCTCTCTGCAGCATGGCTCACAGGTCCATATGTGTCCAGCTGGCCACCCCAGCTCCCAGACCTTCCAGTTAGCATCCCTGCCACCAGCTGGGAGCCTCTAGGGGGAGGATGGGGCCCCTGCAGGCCAGAGTCACAGTGGCAGTTGGAATGAGAAGAGCAGGCAGTTCATTCTTAAGTGTCATTGTGACCTACAGACAAAGCCCACCCTGACTGCTCCCTCCTGAACTTAGCCCTCGCGGGTGTCCCAGCCCTCACTGCCTCCCTCGGAAGGACAGCTGACCACCTGTGGGTGCTGTGGAAATGGATGAGATGCAGGGACCAGGCAGTAAAGGGGGGTTACCAGAGCCGTTGGAGTAAGAGCCGTAAGGGCAGGGCTCGCAGGTGCTGTTGTCGGTTTTGTAGAAGCCTGGGTTGCATGGCGGGCAGCGGGTCTTCACGCCAGAGGCGGGCAGCTTCACCGCCCCCTCGAGATCCTCGTTACAGATTTTCGGCTGGGCCCATTTGTACATGAGCTGCGTCTGCAG